TGAGGCTGCTCAGGGCTGTGTCCAGTTGAGTTTTGAGCATCTTCAAGGATGGAGGTTACACGGCTTCTCTGGGCAGCCAGCTCCTGTCTGACCAGACGCTGCTCCTCAGACTGAAACTAACAAATACCTCGTTCAAACTGTTCTGCAAAGTGTCCTACAAAGATTTAGAATATTTTTCCAAGTATGAGGGAAAAAGCACAGATCGAGGCGTACAGGCAGCAGCCTTTGTGAGAATATCTACTGACCTTTCGATACCAATGTAGGAAAAATATACATTAAGTCACTGTTACGCACTGGTAAAGTGATACTTTGAAAAATATAGTGCATCATAAGAGGTCTCACTGTCTTCTCTTTCATTTTCCAAGGGAGGAGCCTCGTTTTCAGGTTCCCTTTCAGCTTCTTACCTCCCTTATGGATCTCGATGTGCTCATGACCAAATGGAGATGTAAGTTCCACCTTTTGACGGTGACACTCCCTCTCTTAGTTGCAAGTAAACTGTACTGTTTCACCCTTTTTGAGACGACTTATACGCAGTATTTTAGAATTGAGCTTCTGAGTTCATACTTTAGGAAGGACTTTTTTTTGTTTGTACTTTGGCCAAAAGGAAAGATAAAGAGCTGCTGCTGTGATCATTAGATAGATAGGTACAGCGATCACTTCTATGACTTGCTTTAAGTTAGGTGAACGATTTTATTTAAGGGACAGGTATATATTTTCCAATGTCTGCCAAAACATCATCATGACGACTCTTCATACACATACTTCTGCTCCTTCCCTATCTAGATATTCATAAATGAATGTATTAATTCTCTATTAACAGAGCATAATAACATATGATAATAAGTGTATTCATTCTGTATTAACAATAACTATATTCATTGGCTGAAGAGTGGCATAATTAACTCCTGCATTGCTGAAGACCTAGTCATTTGGGATATTTGTACAGATCTCTGAATGACCTTTAATATGTCAGTGATGCACCTTCATGTGACCCTTTGGTTATATCTTAACACTGAACTCACGCCACGTTCTTCTTTCGTATTACGTAGATAACCACGTCTGCATGGTGCACAGAATGATTGGCAGCAAGGCTGGCACCGGAGGCTCATCAGGCTACCAGTATTTGCGCTCAACAGTGAGGTAAGAATAACGCAGTTTGTTGATACTCCAACGCCAGGGAACAGATTTCAGACGGCTCGTTGGCAGCCCGGGGGCTACTGTTTCCCTTTCGGGACTCTAGTATTTCCTCCTGGCTGTTGTACGTTTACTTATTGGGTTGACATACATAAATTTCAAGCTTTTTGAGGCAAAAAGAACTCCCTTTGATCACTCATGCAAAGTGCCATTTATAGTTCTCCGTCAAGGGATCTAGGTATCGCTCTTAGAGCAGTAATATTAACCGTGCACTGTTTAGTGGGTGTACAAGCTAGCCCAAATTAATGAGGTGATACAGGCTGGAAGTGAGTCCCATCTATTGTGCAACTGATGACAGTTTCTTTATTCCTTACCATGACCTCTAATCATACAACCTAAGGTACTTCTGTTGACGTATATAGGATTGAATAGTAATTAATTAGTAATTAATTCTTAAAGCTGATAGTAATTAATACTCTCAAGCTGTGCAGGCAACAACCAGAAACACATTTCCTTCTGTTGGATAAAGCAAAAAAGAAACAGGGACGGTTGGGGCCGTCCTGGAGCACAGAACTCTCTGAATGGGTACAGCTTTATTTACACCAAATTTGAGGATTCAGCTTAGTTAGACAATTCAAACCTTTTAGCTGCAACTACATCCTGACAGTCCTGAACAACACTATGTCAAAAAGCACAAGGCTGTTTAAAACATCTTCTCAAAAAGAACTTCTTTGAGGTTGGTTTTCAAAGAGAAACGGCACATAGGTGGTGACTTCCGCGTACGGCTGTGGGCAATGATTCCCATCAACAACCATCGTCACAGGGGGTGGAATAGAAAGTAGACAGATTGAATTCAGATATTAAAGGTTCACTGTCTTTCAGCAAGCTTTCTTGCTCTTCCTTAATTCCAGGCTAATATTTTTCCTAGACAAAAATTCTACTTCATACCTACCACAAGGGTGGAGGTCTGGAGATTATAGCCTACATACTCCACATTTTCAGAAGACAGATGTGACTATAGCAACCATATTTGCTTTAAGTCTAATCTGTTACGCACAGAAACAGTTAGGATTGGATTTTTACTCTGGAATATTCAGGAGGAGGGCTAGTGCAGAAATCTTATTAAATAAATAAAAGAGATGGAATGATTCCTGAGGATTTTGAAATTATGGCCTTCTATACTGATAACGCAGTATTAATTGTTCCAATTGTCTTTTTCAGTGACAGATACAAGGTGTTTGTGGATTTGTTCAATCTTTCAACGTTTCTAGTGCCAAGACACTGGATACCAAAGATGAACCCAACCATTCATAAATTCCTTTACACGGCAGAATATTGCGACAGCTCCTATTTTAGCAGCGACGACTCTGACTAGCCTGCCTTTCTAGACGGGTTGCTGTAAAGAACTTCAGGACTTTCACCTCAAGTGGTGCTACCCCTCAAATACAACAGCTGTTCTCACGCAGTGTGGGTGTGTAAATACGTATTTATGTATGACAGCTATGTGAATAGTATGACCGCCTTACGGAAGAAACTTAATTGTTCGTAGAAAAATAATCTGTATTGAGTTACCCGACATTAAGACTAAAATGATACCCCAGTTCAATTCAACGACCAGTTAACTCTTAGTTGGCTTCTTAAAACCTACACCTAGCGAGAAGGAGAAAATTATACAGAATTATCACCATTATGTCTTATTTGTACATATTTTTGTATTTGTTTCTCTGCCTAATGGCTGTTATTAATTTACTTCTAGCTGAGGACGTAATTAGTCTCATCACCTTCAGAAGAATATTAGTTTCTGAATTTTAGTGGGATCTCAAAAGGAATTTTGGGTTAAGATTTTCAAAAGCTAGATTTAAAAAAAAGAAGTCTATAGATACCCAAGCGTCTTGAACTTTTACATACATCAAGAATCATGTTGCTATCTCTGTGTTACATATGAATGTAAATCCCTTCTATAGAAATACTGTTGAGAATGGCAGATATAAACTTTCTTTGCCTTTCAAATAAAGCAGTGTTAAAGCTCATCTTTAGTAAAGTTGTCTTCTAAAGCAAGCATAAAGTTCAAACAACAGGCATTTAAAGTGTTTTTTATTCAAAATATAATTGGTATCTAATAAAAGTGAGTCAAATTTGGCCATAGAATACCGATAAAGCTGTGTTCTCTTCTCATTAGATGGACTCGTTTTTTAAACGCTTTGCTTGGAAATACACTGTAGGCCTTAATTTCTGGTGAGTTTCTCTGTATCTTAGCGCTTTAGATACTTATGCCTGGTAGTAGCACCTCAAAAACATCTGTGCTCGATCCTACTATAACAATATTACTTTTATCAATGCCAATTATGAACTTTGGCTATTGTTTTCCAGTTATGGAAGTGTGCTATTTGTTGTTTGTACACTGCTAAGGCAAGGCAAACTACAGAAGACTTCCCCTTTTGTAATCCAAAGTTTTCAGCCAGTAAATTCAGAAAGTCACAGAACCTGAAGTAGTGAGACATAGCACTTGGTCTTCCTTTCATTTAAAATATTAACATTTGTAAGCATTTTCATTTTAATCCTTCTACTTCTAATAGACAATTATGATTGCATTTGTCATAAAAAGATAATAATACACGGATCTATAAACACAATACAGTAATTGAGTGCAAAAATTACAGAATTACTTCAGTACTTTTCATGGTAGTGCTTCAGAAAGGATACAGGTAAAGCATTCCAGATGGAAAATCCAGAGCATTTTAGAATTCCATGTTTGGTTGTGAATTCTAGTTACATTTGCCTGCAAGTCCAGTTTTACAGGTCAGCAGGGCTGGAACCACCTTTTGATTCCCAGCAAATCCCACCTATGAATTCAACTAATGTAGAGAAATTTATCATCTACCCTACTTGGAGTATTCTGTAATGGCTGACTTTCTAAAGGTGGCAAAAATACATTAACAACCCCACCCTCATATTTTTTTCTATAATGAATAAGGTTTTTAATTTCTGCTTTGCAATGGGCTTCACTGTTAGGAAGTAGAGAAGAGAGAAGGCATGGAACTGATCGAGGTCTCAAAGCATGGAAAGGCTGATTTGCAAATACATACAGCCTGCCAGGACACAGGATGTTAAACAACTGGAACTGCCTTGGTTTGTCTAACTACAGCTACTTCTTAATTTTCTATCCACCTAACAAATTAATGCTCAGATATTCTACACACTTTCCAAAACCCACTCCCTGCTCTAAAGTTGTATTTACCCAATAAAGGTCTGAAGACTGAAACTGAAGGACTGCAGCACTTCAGAGACAGTGGGTGCTCAGGAAACAACTTTGACTCTCTATTTCCCTCTTCTTTTACTCTAGCTGTAGAAAAAAAATAGGATTTCACAAAAAGGAGGAAGTTTCTGTCAGAGGTGCTAGAAAAGCCAAGATAAGTATCAGAGCAAAACAGAGGGAATATTTTCTTCCAACTGCCCTTCTTCCCCAGCAATAAAAGCAGACCTAATCATGGTTCTTCTTATATTCAAAGCAATTTGATTGTATTCTGTCATACTATTGGTTATTTGATCCAAATTCCTTATCATTTGTCATCACTTCTTTCCTTGTAAGATTTTGTTATGGAGTAGACCTGGATAGAGTTCACATTCACAGTTTAAGTCCATCTTGGTAAGTTCTTTTTGCATACTCTGCAGTTGATTCCAAGTCTTCTTATTCTACCAGAGATTTGATATGCAACACACATTCCAAATAAAAACACTTTTAAAAACTCCAGCCAACCCATTCCTGTACTGCCTAAAAGCAGGAATTGCCCTTACAGTAATTTCTTATTTTAGAAAATGTTGCTTTGAAGTATATCTTCATATAAAGTGTGGGCCAAGCTATTATCCAAGTAATAATCGTGGTCTTTGGCCAGTGTCAAACAAATACCGACGAGACTGTATCCGCTATACCTACAAATGAAACAAACAAAAAATTTAATAATACTGGAAGCAGAGACTTGCCAGAAATAAGTTCCCAGAATTCACATTCACATAATGCCCTCTCCCCTCCATGCCATGACAGTATGCATGACTGCTGGGGTGGGGGGGCAGGGAATCAGCTGCAACCCTTTTATTTCCTCCTTGCCTGACACTTTACAGCTATGCTCTACACTCCTCCCTCCTCTGCTTTCATGTTCAAAACTTTAGGTCCTTTTTGCGGATTCAGCATTGGTCCAATATGGGTGCTGAAAGCAATCTAAACGTTGATATCATCTTCCCTTTTAATCATATTCATTAGCAATGGATAGACAATATGAACCTATGCAGCTTTGAAAGCTCACCAAGAGACTAGAGATCACAAATTCCATAAGAAGACACATTTTTGAACACTCATATGCACACAAATAGAGAGCAAACTAGGCTTTTATTCATGCTCAGTCCTTTTCGCGTTGTTGTACTCCTTCCAGCACTAAAAGGAAAGTCTGACTACAGTCTGTGAAGGTACCAAAGGATGATGGCTCTTACACCCTCAAAAGTGGTGTCAGAGCACCTCTAAATCAGAAAACAACTTCTGTGGGGGAAAGCAACTACTGGCCTTTGCTGGATTGTTCTTGTGTAACATGCTACAGAAAACGTGAAAGATTCTGCTTTTTGAGAGAATAAATTTTGGAAATAACATGGCTGTTCTTCCTGACCACTTCTACAATTGACTTGCTTTAGTTATTGCTACTTCTAAATTTCTCTTTCAAAATAGTTTGTTTATACAATAGTAAGAACAAAAATTTAACCAACATGGAAAAGTTATGATTAGATACATCGTCCTGATCTTTACCCAGTACAGGAAAACCAAATATTATCTATTCTTATTTGCAGAAGATTTACATCATCTAAGACCTTTTACAATGACTGAGAGCTACTGTGAAACATTCATGGAAGGGGAAGCCAATGGAAGACCTGCAGTGTTAATCTAAAGACAAAAATTCAATGGACACACAACACTTACAATCTAGTAGTCAAATCCCAGCAATTTGGCTCAGCAATCTCTGCTGGTAAACAAGAGCTTCATCTACCTTACCTCCATATCCAGGAACTCAGAAGAAACTGGGTATTAAACACCACAAAACCCCCTCAAACGCCAAGAAAAATCTCATGCAGACACAGGGCGGGAGATGGAACTAGCACTAAAAGTATATACCTCTATCCTACAACAAAAGCCACAATCAGGGCACACGGATCCACTGAAGAATCGGTCAAGAGCAGCCCTGAGGAGAAGGACCTGGGGGTGCCGATTGATGAGAAGCTCAACATGAGCTGGCAATGTACGATCGCAGCCCAGAAAGCCAATCGTATCCTGGGCTGCATCAAAAGAAGTGTGGCCAGCAGGTCAAGGGAGGCAATTCTTCCCCTCTCCTCCGCTCTGGCGAGACCCCACCTGGAGTACTGCGTCCAGATCTGGAGCCCCCAACATAGGAAAGACACAGACTCATTGGAGCAAGTCCAGAAGAGGGCCACAGAGATGATGGAGAAGTTGTGGAGGCCCCATTCCTGGAGGTGTTCAAAGCCAGGTTGGATGGGGCTTTGAGCAACCTGGTCTAGAGGAAGGTGTTCCTGCGCACAGCAGGGCGTTGGAACTAGATGATCTTTAAGGTCCCTTCCAACTCTAACCATTCTATGATTCTATGATACATGACCGTACACTTTACAATGCCATTACCTCTACACGGTAAGGTACAATAGCATTTTATTTGTTATGCCTTATATGGCTTTACCATCGCATGGTGTTTTTCAATCATTCAACTATATGGCCTGGTTGAACTAGCAACCGCTTTATTTACTTTTCCAGATGGACTCATCTCATCTCTTTTAAAACATAGCAATGATTTGTATTTCCTCTCTGAAGATCCCATTATATTGCTTTACTTACATGTAGAAACATATCCCAGCACGTGGCCTTTACCACTTTAATTATTTTTTGTCAGACTTACCACAGACATTGCCCCCTATCTTGACACGAACATAGCCATCTATTCCCCATGTAGGCCCCCAAGAGTTCTGTACAATCCAGTAAGGTATACTACCTGCAAAAGACATTTTTGTCAACAAGAGACAACATGAGATGTGGGAAGCATAAAAAACTTCTAACACTCTACAGAGTTAATTACCATTCTAGTATCTCATCGTTTCTGATGGTTTGATGATATAGTACAGTGAAAACTACTGCTGTTCCCATAGAGGACAAAGCTTATAGTCCAGCGTTGAACAGACTGGATATATCCTCTGCTAGCACAAAGACACATACAGCCATGTTCATGACCTAACAAGGATGTGAAGTTCCACAGAACTGAAGGAGCACAGACAAGAAGAGTTTTTCTCCTGGGATCAGGCTGCGGTTCCAGAACTGATGTGACACCAAATCAAACAGCTCTCAACAGTTCTGGATTTTAATCACCTGCTCTACAGGAGGCAAGTTGTAAGTAAGAGAAAAAACATAAAACCTACTGGACTGAAGTTCAGGTGATGGAAACGCACCTGTTCTGTCAAAACCAGTGATAAGAACAGCGTGATTTGCTCTTCCACTGGAGCAGTGATACTGTATGATCCCGCCAAGATAATCCTGCCAGCTAACCGCATCTACTGTTACTGCCAAAGGGCCCCAGTTAACAAGCATCCTCATCATTTCTTCTTCCTGACCGCTGTGAGAAAAGTGAGCGATAATGCCAAGTGACTTAAGTTAGCACACTAAAGCAATTGGAGAGGTGGTAATCTACTTGTTAAGTACAATTTAAAAATAAAATAATTCAACTGTTTCCTATGAGTTCTATACACCATATAACATACATCAATGAATATATATTTTATATACTACACCACAGTAATACAAACATGAGGTGTAGATCCAAAGATATGATGCTATTAAAAAGCAGCAGGTTTCTGGTTCAAGTCAGTGGGCAATAGTGAGCACTAGGTACCTTTTATACATCACTCTTCTCAATTAAAAAACAGCTTTGGACAAACCATTAGCCTATATTATTATTTCCCACTAGTTTTCAAACATGCAGAAGTGCCTCTTGTATCACGTACTAATAATACACTAATACATACACTAATAATACACTAAAACATGTATCTCAAACATATCAAAACACAGGACATCATTACCACTGTCAGACTTAGCATCCTCATACAGTTTTACTTATGTAATATGCTGGAACAGGAATCTTTATCACTGCATGATGTCTGCAATAACAAAATTTGGCAAATAGAGACTGGCAAAGGTGTAATTGATCTTAGTTACTTATATCTGGCAATAATTCAATTCTAGTCAAAATTAGATTTCTTGTCTTGAAGTTCAGTATGCAGCTGTATTGTACTGACAAAAATTAGAAACAAACTTTCCTGGTACAGAAACCTTAAAAAAACCCCAAACAGTTGTCTTTACAAAATTCAGTTGACAACACTGTTTGCTATGTCATGGACTACAGGAGGATGCAGGTGAGTATGTAAATGGATACATACTGAAATAACAGAATACTTCCTAAATTTTTCAACAAATTACAATTACTATTGGTAGGATTTACAGTTTCTGATACTTAAGCAATGTAACTTAGCATATATTTAAAGTTGTAACTGACTCAATGTTCCAATTTAAACACAGCCAACTGAAAAGACCTAATTGCAAGACATTGACTTAAGCTTTCTAATCTGAATAAGCTTAGTGATGGCAGGGTTGAGTGGATTCATTGCGGCAAGCCATAACCCTAAAAAATGTTATGTATTAATTCTTATGCAGTACACAGCTACAGAACTGATGCAATCAACCTCCTAACCTTTGGTTGGTCAACACACTATTGGCTCTAGCTTACTCTACAAGTTAGTGAACACAGAATAAAAAGTACAGCAAATAAAAAGAATCGATAGGCACTACCTGAAGTCATATGCAGCAAATCCTCTTATTGAAACTCCAAAATCTGAATGACCAAAATAATGGCATAGTCCTGTCTGAGCTTTAAAAGTGTATTCTGAATCTCTCACGAGTTTTACTTTTGTCTGCAAGAAGATAAATGAATAAGAATTTAATGCATTTGACTTTAACACTATGCAGATCAAAACACAATGAAAATGACCACAAAACTGACTCAAAATTCACTGTATTCTTGGCGAGATCAGAAATAAGAATGTTATGTTGGGAAATAAGTTATTTACTATCTCTAGTTTCTGTGTTTGTGCGGGAAGGTTCAGAAGGGACTCAGAAGTCTTTAAATAATGATCAAAACTTAAAAGCTATCTCTTGTTTAAACTAGCCTCATGAGCAATGTCATCAATTTCAAGACACAGAGACTACGCATTCATTTAATGAATGACTCTATTCTCTTCAAATGACATCCATACACAAAATTACCCTGCCCTTGAGACAGATAAAGAACCACAAATATACCAAGAACTGTTAGATAAAATATTGAAATTAAGTCCAATTCTGCTGTTAGCATCAAATCCTCATGCCAGTATGTAATGCATTACAATGCCTGCCACGGTTCAAAGTCCAGCTGCAAAGCCATTGCATCAACCTTTTATGCTTTTCTTGTCTCCTGCAGTACAGTATGTTTATCACAGTGCCTTTCCAGTCTAAATCATTTGTACTCCCTCTGTTGCCAAGCAAGAGGGAATTTTGCTGCAGAGGAATCCAGATGGATATCCTCTGTCCTTCTTGAAATGCCAACTTAAACAAGTTATCTAGACTATCTAGACTGTTATTAGCCAGGGTTACATGAATCTTCATGGGTTACAGAGTTTCTTAAAATGGGTAATTAGCTTTTTTGAAAAACTTAAAAAACCTAAGGAATTCTTTTTATATTCTTGTAACTCAAACCGTCTTCCTAAAGAGTACTTCTTATTTCAAAGTCATTAAAATGTTTCCACTTACACGTTATTAAGACACAGTTTGCATTTTTCATGAATGAGATGTGTTGGCTACAACTAAAGTAGAAACTATGTCTGCATTTTCATTGTTCTGGGTTGCAAGTGAAACAAAGGTATTTATTTTGAGGTTCTCCACACTCCCTATGATTTTACAGTCTTTGAAACAGAAACCACAGAAATTTAAAAGCAGAAATTCTCAACATTCCTCCTTTTCCCAAGATGCTGGTGCCTAAACTGGACACTCAAATCCACAAAATGACAAATAGATAAATGGCTCCTTCTACACTGATACTGTATGCTTGCAGTTCCAATTGAACTCAGTGGAAGTACTGTAGCTTTCAAGGAACATTATTTTCAACCCTTGTGGGCTAATTTGTTACATTCACAAGAACATATATAGACTATAAAATTCCAATCAAGTTTCAATTCTGCCTGAACAAACTTTCTCTTGATTCCAAACTAAATAAATACACGTACATATATATACACGTGTATGCAAACATACATACACACACATATTAAAAAAAAATCAGATCAGCTGTACACTCCACCTTCCCCATCACTTTTTCCCAGTAAAAAAAAAAAAAAAAGTTCATATGAAAGCTAAGGAAGTGTTCAAGATTTATGAAAAGTTTCAAACCTGGTTCAGCCAGCTCAAAGCACTAACAGTGGATCCCCCACTGCAGCCATAATTATTGTATGAACAGTCAATAACCTGCTGTACGCTGAGTTCTTCCAGGTTATTTCCTTTAATTGCATAGGCAGACTCTATACCACCCACAACGCTGAAAGCCCAGCAGCCTCCACACTGGTACAAAGAGAAGGGAAACAGGGGAGAAAAAAGAGTCAACTTTGGTTTTGAAGCCTGATATGAAAAGAGTCAAAAAGGTCTTCTAATGCTCTTCATTTACTACATCATCCTTGAACTTCGTTTTTAAGGCAATAATAGAAGAAATTTAATCAGCCATTTAAACTATTGAACTGTTTTTTTCCCCTGTACTGCTCTCTGAAAGCTAGAAATGCATTATGGGTGTCTGTCTTTAAGGATTTCTTCCTGATTCATTTTTGCCCTTTAAGATAGGTCTGAGGATGCTTTTTACTGTAAGATATGTTTTCTTAAAGAAGGACTGGGGCTTAGGATGAAATTACTTTTTAACCACATTAGTTAGTAACTTTTTGAAAAGGATGCACTTGAGGACACAGTCTACAACTTCCTACAGTCTGAAGAATTTTATAGAAATACATTAGATTCCACTTTAAGAAAGAGTAAACTGAAAATAAACATAATAGAAAAATTCTTTGACAGTAACAGAGTCTATCCTGCAGTTCTATGTTCTTTAAACAGTCACATTTAAAATAGGAAGCAGAATTTATTCCTAGGCAAGGTCCAGGTTACACTATAAGAAGCACAGAAAGGAAAGACATTGGGGTTTTAACGGCTTGTTTGTTTCTTACCGGTGACCATAACCACTTTGGGATAAATTGTAATCACGTAGGGTCTGGTTATCTTCCTATCATGAATGCATCCCCCAAGTTGTTCACTGGTAAAGATACAGGTGTTGACCAGCCAAGGGCATTCAACAATGAAAGAAAACAACAGCAAACAATCTATACCCATCCAGGTGAAAGAGGGGAATGAGGTCAGGTACTGAACTTACCGCCATCTCTTCAGAAAAATACAAAATCCACATGGTGCAAAATATTTGCAGATTTAGTTAATTAGATCAAAAAACGTATTACACACTGTTTATAATTGCACAATTTCTAAATGCATAACTTTTACATCTCATGCTTTTAAGTCTAATCCCACTTTGCATAAAATGCGATGTGACTTTGTATACGTTCAACCAGCCATACTTATGCCAGCGCTCCAAGGAGTCTCGAGGCAGTGCTGGTCCCTTCCAAAACCTTCACTGTGCTGTACGACGCACCTGCTGGAACGGTCTCTGAGCAGTGCTTGAGAACCAGGAAAGAAAAACACCAGGACTTACTGTTTGCTGATTTCTCACGTCTGCAATGACTTTCTTGTCCCTCCAATCAAACTTCTTTGGCAAAGGTTTTTCCCTTCCCTTTGGCACTTTTATGTATCTGGGAAGTTTGTGAGGTATGCTTCTTAAGTAAATAGCTAAACACAGAATACAAACATCTATAAATCTACTAACTAAAAAAAAAAAAAAATAATCACGAAAAACTGTTTTACCAGAAGCCATAGAGGCAACTTTTATCTGCAGTTACAATCATAACATTACTTCTCATTCTCAAATCCATAGAAAATCCAGGTATTTTAAAATAATCATTATACTCCAGAAAGAATGTAAATATTCCTACAGTCCTACAAGGAACAGAAATATTCCATGTAGGGAATGTGCGTACAGAGTGTAAAGATTTACTATAGCTGATCAATAACCATTCTGTAAAAACAGTTCTGTTTGAAAATTTTCACAACATTTTGCTTACTGGAAAAATATTACTTTATTTTAGTCATGGAAAAGGGGAAAAATAAGAGGAGAGTAATGTAAAGATTCTGAAACACACTCAAATTGCTAGTTTTTCACTAAAGAAACCTACTTAATTATTTAAAATTTAAAAAGGTGTGAAATCCCCCAATGAATAGAACATATAACAGCATACTTCAATGGTAAGAAGGGAAGATTAGGTTAGGTATCAGACAAATTTTCTTAGTAAAAAAATTAAGCTTGTCATATTGCTCCTGAAAGTCATAGAAACAGCCTTGGACAGCCTTGGACCTCCGAGCATTGTTTGGATTGTAGTCAATTTTGCCTTAGGGTAGAGAATAGGAACTTAGGGTACTCAAGAGCCTCGTGTATTTTCCAATTTTACAACTGTTGCAACTGGAGAAGTCTTTTAAGTCCCAGTGAGAAGAGAGCCAAGAAGAAGGCAGCAAGAAGAGTCTGTATACTAAATCAAATTCAGGCTCTGGGCAATTCAACCGTGCAAGACTAGAGAAACAAGAAGAGGACTGTTGTATCCTTCAGAAGTACTTACAGTTTGGTACCAGACACTGTAAACTAGCTGACTATCAACAGTGGAAGAATCTGTAAATGTGAAAGATACAAGGTTCTGGGAAAGAATAAGAAAAATAACAGAAAAGATATTAGCATCAGCCAGAAAATGTACCTTTGAACTCTTCAGGAAACAGGTGAGAAAACTGATTTATTCCATAGAAAGCAGTCGTATTATCTTTTGATGATGAATTCAGTAATCTAATTCTTTTAGCGCTTTCCTGAAGGAAAAGAAAAGTAATATTGTGGACATTATTAAGTTAGCAGTAGTCACAAAACCATAAGAGTAGAAAAAGAAAAGGTTAGCAACAGTAAACATGAACTTTGATAACAAGACAGCTGTTCACCTCAGATTAATTGCGGATTCCTATCAAACCAATATGAAAGCCATTAGACTAATTTCAACACCAAGAAAGATACCAAAAAAGCATTTGTTAAGTGAATAGAGGGCAAAAAAAAGATACAAGATAGACAAAACAGGCAAGCTGAGAACAAATTGTGTCAAATTCATCTGATGCCCTTCTCTGACAGCACAACAAACCTTGTGGTTCAGAGATACACAGAAGTATCTTCAGATAAGAGTTTATGTCCTTATAAAGCAAAATAACAGTAGAATGGCCTAATGGCATAAAGAAAAGCCCCAACCCTAAATTTTAAATTATCAGGAATCCCAGATCTCTGAAAAATATGTTTTTAACCGACAAAAGCAAGACAACCTGGCACCCCCCTCCCCAACTTCTCCGGCTTGACGAAGTTCAACACGAAAAACCAAAAACTCAGCGCCACCTTCGGCCTTCCCGGAGGCCTCAGCGCACCCCCCGCAGGGCGCGCGCCGGCCCCTCAGGCACGGGAGGAACACCCGTCAGCGCCACCGCCGCTCCCGCCGCCACCGCCGCTCGGGGCCGGGCTGGCTCCGCGCTCCG